GTCACAAGCACAACTGACATAATTACTAGACTATAAGTCATATCCCAGCAAACCAAAAACCTTGTTTAAATTCCTCGCCTGGAAACGAATTCTCAAACTGTCGTTCATGACATATGGAGTCATGCGAGTCATGTCTCTTGGTGTTTGATATGGTATTCGCAAACATAAGTGAGAGTGAGTAAGATATAATGACAGGTCCATATTGCGCACGCTCCATATTGAACCAAGAACCAAGTTCGATCTCATTAGAGATCTCATGAATGGATGAGCTTTGATCTTATGGCATTAGCGATCTAGTTAGTAATTTATGTCAATGGTTTTAGTGGATTTATGGAAATTTAACCTAATGCATGATCATTTACCACTTTGCTACTGAAAATAGTGGAGATAAGATGTTCGAAGCGCATGCGCATAACTATATATTTTTTCTTTTTCGTCATTTTCCAATCTATTACTATTCACTGTCATCTGTTACAATTTTACGTCGCAATTTAGTACATTTTATTGTATTCCTCATCGCAACCCTAATGTATTCGAGCGCGTCAGATATTGAGAAGGGACGTTATGTAAACCCTCAAATAGCCCCTATTCAAAAGACTGACGATTTGGACCCGACCAAAGGTCATGATCAATTTTTGAAAATGCAAGGAGGTTATAAGTTCTTGGGTTGGGAATACTTCCATCGGCGAAGAATTCCAAAGTTTCGCCGTTTAATAGATTAACGAGCTCTGGTTAAGTGTTGTTCCGCATATTTCAAGGTTGAAAACGACTTTGCAAATTTTGCTTTCGCTCGGCTTCGCTGAACGCTTCGCCTCGCAAATGCAAAATTCGCTTGTCAAACAAAGTGTCACTTTGATCCTAATAAAACAATCTACTATTTTCTGCATGTAACTAACGTACCATGTCTTAATCTGACGCGTTCGAGTATCTCTGACGATCGATTTTTTTTTACTAATCTGATCGGCTGCCCTAAACTTTTGACACCATATAAAGGGCCCAGGTATGGTGGGAGTACTTCACAAGGTCCAAGGATACCCCCTTATGTTAATCTGCCGCGCTGGAGTAAATCCCGAAATCTCCGCTTGGACTTCCTTACTAATCAATCAATCAATCAATAACATTTATTGTATCTGAAGAGGAAACCTCATTACAAGAAAATTGGTTCGAACAAATACATAAATTATTAATATAACAGTGTTCAGATTATACATACACTGAAAAAAAGACAAAACAGTGAAATGGTTAATATCATATGATAGAGAAAACAAAAAATAAAGAAACAACAAAAAGTATGGCAGATAATATTTAGAAGGCAATCAAAAGATAATTCCAATTGAAAAGTTCTGCAGTAAGACAAAATGTGGAGAACCATTAGAGGCATGCGGTTCATTCATTGATGACAAAAGACCGTAATTTCAGGATATTGACTTCCTTACTAACAACAGCTGCTGTTGCCACTTTGACTTCTATATCTTGAACGGTAATTATGGAATAGCACTTCTTCTGGATTAGCTTTCATGTGCTAAATCCATTTCCTGATGGGAATGTTTTCTGCATCTATTAATTTTTGCAATAATATAAAAAGCTTGTTTCATCCAGATATGTAGGCACTTCAAACTTCTTACTAACTACTAATAAGTTACTCACTTCCATTCAATATTTGTCATCAAGTGGTCTTACTCCTGAAAATTCGTATATATTTATCATTGGTTCCATAATATTATGTTTCCCATGGAATTTTGATTAACACTTATTCTGCACTTCAGGTATACAGGGTGTCCTGAAGTTATATAAAAAGATTTCAACCACAGATTCCGAAAACAAAATGGTGAAAAAAGTTTATGCAAACGTTGGTCCAGAAATGGCAAGAATTCTCTTAGATTTAGATCAGGGGCGTGGGAAATAGATGGGGCTAGGGGCATTTCTTTCCCCAACTTTTTTTCAATGCAATTTTCGGCAGTTTGATCAGGAAACATAGAATTATCATGACTTTTACTTCAAAATAATGATGATGTGATATTTGACTCGAAATATGAAAGAAACAATAAAAATAATAATTTGAAAAATATTATGGTAGGTACTCTATCAAGAAAAAGTACAATTTTTATTGCGCAGCAGACTTTTGACATCGATTTTTCTCGAAATTGCTGAGTGCTATCGAAAATGAACCGGTGTATCATTTTTAGGTAAATATGATGATATTTTCATATTTCCTGGTCACACTGCAAAAAAATGCATAGAAAAAAAATTGGGGAATTAAATTTCCTATACCCCTGACAAAAATTTCGGAAATTTCTCAACATTTCAAAATTGGGCATGAAAAGAAATATACATGTACGATATTTCGTTATCTCAACATAGAGGGTATCGGGAATATTCACAAAAAAAAACATCTCGGGCCCTCTTTCAGATGGCTATAACTCTTTCTATGTAATAATAATAAGCTCCAGAGCAGAACTGTTAGGATTACCTTATTCCTTGTTGACAGATACCAAGGTAGCATATATGAAACATAATAGATCTGACATAACAGCATTCCAAACATAAAGTCCATAGAGAAAATGAAAGAACCCAATCAGTGAAATCGAAATGCGTACTACTTTGATGACAATTAAATTCTAATTAAATTATCTCAATTTGTCTGTATCTGTCTGACGATCAAAACAGAATGGAACTTTGATTGAAAATATATTGAAGTACCGCTTGTTGAATATATCCATGGTATTATCTAAGAATTTGATATGATTATAAAGTGACATGTGCGACTAATTTAAACGGTTGTCCCCATCTGGTATCATACGTTCGTTGCCGTCATTCAATACAACTTTATTAGACGTTCAATAATTTTTAATCATCACTTGTTTCTTTTGGTTGATTTGAAGATAACTTGAAAATTTTACTTAATCGCTGCAACAAACGAAAATTGAGAGATAACCACATTCGACAACTTGTTGTGTACATCTAAAAACTGAACTCAAACTCAAAGCATGTATGTTCTCTGAAGTAGCTAAACTCACTATGTCTGATATAACAATGTCTAAGAACTTGAAAAGCTAAGTCAACACAGCTTCCTGTCGTTAGGAACCTCATTTCTGGTAAGTACTTGCAGTATCGAAGAATATGTATCGCTCTATTTCCTCAACTTCCTGACATAATTCTTTCGCCAGGCCTATCGTACCCTTATATCATGTTTATTGAGCCCATACAATGTCCTCTCGGAAGTATTATTATTCTTGTCGTACTTTTCTTGACTCCGTGACAGACTGTGAATGTTGATATTGGGATATTCGATCAGTTTCTCATTCCTGGCTAATTAATCCATCAATATTGGTGTTGAAGGTATTGCTATACCACATGGAGGTTCTGTTGATTATGAGTCTTTGCTACCCAATCTTGTTCTCAGGTTAATGAGTCAGCTCCTGTTCTGACTCCCTGGCGGCTTTCTTAGAGCTTCAAACCGAAGCTATTGCTATACCACATGGAGGTTCTGTTGATTATGAGTCTTTGCTACCCAAGCTTGTTCTCGGGTTAATGAGTCAGCTCCTGTTCTGACTCCCTGGCGGCTTTTTCAGAGCTTCAAAGCAGTACAGTTCAGAATGCGATATACCTACTGAGACTTCTTCAATGTTCGGGAGATATTCGTTTGCAACTGGCAGATCTGAGATGCCAACTTTACATTGATTCAGACATTGAATTGATATCGAGGAAACTATCAGCAGTGATAATGTTGCATACCTACCTATTAGACCGTTACATACCGTTAGAAATAAGTGACAGGTTTTCTGACGTGATTTCACCCAGTATGCCTTTTGGAGGGTCTCATCATGTATATATTGTTACGTTATTCGGGTGCAGAAGCGAACACGACACTATTTATTTTCGAACTGATTTATTCAAACTGAAGAAACACTAATTTATATCGAACCTATAACTACTATTTATGTAAAACGATTTATATCACGCGGTATATAACTGTCTTTCTGACACTCGCTGCTTAACTGACTGACGGCAGTTATTCGGCCGTTTATATATGGGATCACTTGGCAGGCTTTGGTTCGAGAACGTTCTCGAATGATCTTCCGTCTCCTTCTTTTTGTTTTAGAAGCTTCTTAGAACAAACCTCTCTCTCTAATTGTTCCATCGATTGTTTCCAGAACATTCCAGAATCTTCTGTGACGTTATTTGTCACTGCGGCATATATTGAGTGTTCGGAAATATGCTGGTGCATGTAGGAATCATTGGGAGGTTGGAGAACGATCTGGGATGCGTGTTACAGGATGAGCGTTGTACTCCTGTCTTCCTGCTGATGATTCTAGTGCCCCGTTAAGGGGAATATCATTACAATATTTTGATGTTGAAAAATGACACATGGAAGAATTGAAGTTGATTAACATTATTTGTTCGCAAATTGAGCGTTTCGATACGATTTCATTCAGCTGCCTGAGTTCCAAAATAAAATAAAAGTGATATGCGTATAGTTGAAAATACAAAGGCAAACCGCGGTTGCGTGAGATCAAATAGTAATTACGGCCTGGCGTAGATGCATTTGTAAAAATCTCTTTTTCTCGTTTTCAAACAGGCTGCTTTCAAGAACTATACATGCTTGTGCTATACATTTCCTACGGAAAAAATGCATACCGTTTGTGCATGTCGAAGTAAACCGAGATGATTCTTTCTATGATTCTTTCATATATCATTTTTTGAAGTCAAAATATATTGTTGTTGTTCTAAAATTATTCTATCCGTCATTCGGTTGCCCCCTTACGAGCAACCCTCAGAAGTCTTCGAGAGTCTCAAACACTTCCTTGGGCCATCAGAAACATTTCTGCAGTCGCTGGGAATTGAACCCACGATCGGCGAGCGAATGCGGATTAGAATACTGACACTCTGTCTGCACAGCTACCTGGCCTCCATACATAATGACATCCTCCAAAAGGCTTACTGGGTGAAATCTAGTCCGAAAATCTGTCACTGCCTGGCGGTTTATATGCGTTTATAAGGATTTCAATGAACATCAAAGCAAAAGGGTTGCATCTACATCTAAGTACGTCCTTCAATAAGTGTATTGAATATTATTCATGTAAGTAGACCTAATAGGTTTGGATATAAATAAATAAATGAATAAAATATAGTAAAGTATAGACTATAGGATCGTTGACTACGTACGGTATTTCGAGTGATATATAGACAATGATAATGTGAACTGAACCAGTTATTGACAAGATAAAAAAATAGTGCAGTGCGGTATGTCATCCAGTGATCCACCTTCCCCGCTGGGGGATACGGACATTCCCTCGCTAACTTGCACTCCACCGGCATCCCCCTGTTTCCCCCCATTGTCACCCTTGCCAGGGTCATCGAGACCCAAATCACTAATGGAGAGTCTCCTGGTGGCGAAAATGGAACAGGTCGCCTTGAGGCATCCTGGGAGACAGCTGGTGAGGACTGACAGTGCAGATTCGGCTAGTTCTTTCGGATCCATCAACTCTGCAACGGCTAGTGACGTTTGCAGGTGCGATGACTGTTTGTTGGGGATTGGCGATTTGTGGCAGCAGGAGGGAAGTGAGGAAAGACGGAAAAAGGTATGGAATAGCTGCTAGATACCAGGGCAATACATAACTTGAATTTCTCGCGGTGACTCATTGGCGGTGAACCATATGATTTAATATATTTAGAATGAGGGCCACATATTTTGATTGTCCACGAGATCATGCTACTGGCCACGTTTATACCGTATGGATATTTGGTATGCTTACCAAGGTGATCTAACTGAATTAATAAAAAATGCCTTGGTTGATGCATGTTTACACTATGTACCTTCAGTTGACTAACGTTACCATCTTTGTATGATTTGATTATTTCTTTGAGGTTTAAGGTTGTGGAACTCCAATTGAATTCGTGAATTAAGAATGAAACCTGTTAGTAAGATACGGAATGATCTGAAATTGTATGAAATATTGTTATGAGAACTCATGAAATAACTGTCACTTGCACTCAAGTCAAGTCAAGGCTATAGACCAAAATATTTACACCGTCTTGGTCATCATACTATTTTAGTCTGGTACGCAACAAATTTCAGTACCAAACCAAGCTGGTAACTTTACCAAGTATACCGTTTATACCACACTGACCAAGAGAATTTAGTCAAAATATCAGTCAGCTCACCAAGATACGGTATAAAACGTGGCCACTGAGACGACGTGAGATCAAAGTTGGTAGAACTGTCATCTGGTCTCTTCCTACGATATCATCTTCTTTGTTGAATTTAGATATGTACAGGGTGATTGTTTATATCTTACTCACTATTTGCGATCGCCAAGGTCATTAGATTGAAAGTAAAACATGTTTTCCCGTAGTTTTTAATGTCGCCATAACGTCATCTAATAACCTCGATGACCGCCTATAGCTATCTCAGTTAATATTGGTCCAACAGAAACTCTCAAATAGAAAAAAGTGGGGTATTTTTTATGAGCATCTACAATTCAGTAATAGAAAATGCAAAAAAGCATCGTAAACCCGAACATTTTTCTTAAACTGTATTCTCTAAATAGAACGCCCCATATATATATTTTATTTCTCTAGACGGTAGAGCTTCCTTCTGATTTCGAATATATATGATATATTGAGGTTATCTTTTGTCAGTTTTTGAAAAAAAGATATTTTTAGAATAGATATAAGACTAGAGATTTTTTGGTATAGATCTAAGACAGGTATTGAATGCTGCGATTTCTGTAACCTCAATAAAGTATATATCATATTTTGAATCAAAAGAACCTCTACCGTTCAGAAAATTAAAATACGGAATGTTTCATTTAAAAAATACCAGTTCATGAAAAATTTGTAGGTTAACGATGTTTTTTTGCATTTCATAGTACTAGATTGTGAATGTCCACAACAATACTTCTCTTTTGCCAATTTGAACGTTTCTTTAGGACCAATATTAACTGAGAGAGCTATTGAGTAAAATATAAACAATCACCCTCTACATGAAGTTCCACAATAACAGTGAAAAACGTAAGTCATACTAATGATTAATCAATTAATAATCTTACTAGTGATAACTCTATTCCTTTTCATTGGAACTTTTGACTGTGACAGACATCATGCTCTGATACCAACAACTGGTGAGACTGAGAATGTTGCGGAGTAGTAGTAGTAGTAGTAGTAGTAGTAGGTGAGGAGGCTGAAGGCCCCGATGGCCCCTTTTTGCTAACCGCTGCTCTCCACATATCTACGCTTCCTTCACCTAGATTTCCTTTACGAGTCTCCCTGTCTTTCTGATGAAGGTCAGTATGTCCGTCCACTCTAATATGATCAAATGGAGTGACGTTTCTTCGTCCTCCCCACATCTGCGGCAAGTGGGGTTTGTCCTCTATTCCCATAAGTGTTAGGTGTCTGCCTAGCCCACGGCCTGGCCTGTTGTGTCCTTTGAGTACTCCTATGAGGAGGCGGAGTACTTGGCGGTCTCTGCCTAGTAGCCAGTCCTTCCTTGATTTGCTCGGACCGGCCACGAATTTCTTGGCCTGCCTGCAACCTGTGATATTCTTCCAATATTCTTCTAGTGCCTTGTCTGCCCATTCATCAAGGGCTGACGTAGTTTGGCTGCTTGCTATACATAGTACAGGCTCCGGTCCCAGAAGCGGCTTCGCGAATCTGGCCCTAGCAAGTTCGTCTGCTGTTTCGTTTCCGGGCACCCTACTGAGACCCGGGACCCATTCCAGTTCAACTTCATTCGATTTGGCTAATATGTCAAGGGCATTTCCACATTCCTGTGAGTGCTGCCTGACTATCCGAACCTCGATCCGAACAGATGTAGATCTTCTGCTCTGGTCCCTCTTTCACCTCTTGCCTCTCTACTACGACTAGGATGGCGAACACCTCAGCTTGGAAAACTGTGGTGTACTTTCCTAGAGCGTAGTTTCCTCGTATGTTTCTCCCTTCGAGATAGATCCCTGCCCCGGGGTCTGTTTGTCAGTCAGACGGGATCCGTCTGTGTAACTCACTAAGCTTCCTGAGCGAAACTCCATTGTATTGCTTTCTCCATTCTTCTCTGCTTGGAATAGTAAGTTCGAACTTCCTATTCCATCTCAGCCTTTCCTGCACTTTATTCAGTCTGAGAGTGGGGATAGGAATCTCTTGCTCTACCCACTTTACTATTTTTGCATGTCTATGTTGCGGAAGTATGGAAGAGTCTCAAAATGATATACTAGATTTGTAAAATTGAGCAGAATGATATTAAAATCAATTGGCAAATTATCAACATAGGGGGGTAGTAAAGGAGCTGCACCGGTTCCAGAATCAAAACGTCACTTTTCCCATGTTAATCTCCATAAGAAAAGTTAAGGTTCATTCTGCAATTTTTTGGCCACTTCAAGGTCATCCGGCTCCGACGGCGAGCAAAGCGAGAGATCCGTTCCAGAGATAACGGTGCGCATTTCATTACATTTTTCACCCAATAATGGCTATATACAGGGTGTTTGAGTTGGCTAATAGTTGGGGAAAAAATATATAGAGTGAGCCCAAAAGGCGTTATACCTCCTCGACGAGTAGACTACCAGCATATAGGCTACCCGCTAGCTACTGATTCAATCTAATATATAGGGTGTTTGAGTTGAATAAAAATTATATATATATACAGGGTGTCCCACGGTTAGACCACCCCACTTTAGGGGTAAATATTGAAGGATTGGGGAGTGTGGGTACTCTGAGAGAAGGATTTTTCGCGAGCATTCCAATAATGGTTCGTCCATATGCAAAGTCTCAAAGTTTATGAGATATCATTTGAAATGTGTGTAGGGAAACGTTCAGTTAGGTATGTGATGGAAATAATTGATGCTGAGGTCAGATTTCATTAGCCATGAAATATGTCGAACAACTCTTTATCAAAACTCATTCAATAACATGATATATCCTGGTCTGAGTTAGCAATAGCGATAAGAAATAGGGCGTCTCACGGGGGTAGCGAACATACGTATGATATAGTATCCGTTCGATATACAGCAATAATAGCAATACAAACTTATATAGGGCACTCGTGGTAAGAAGTTAAAGGTAGACTCAGCAGAAGTGTGACAGATGACGCTAGTTGACGATTTCGATCATTATACAGGGTGTATACATATATGGCGACTCATTCGATTGAAGTTGCTCATTGCATCACAGCAAGCCGGAAATACATCCAATGACAATGAGATTGTTACCATAGTTAACGAGTTGAAGGAGGCTAATATAATCAGAGAAGCGTGAAAAAACATGAAAAAAGCGTCACGTTTTCGTCACACATGTGTTGAAAAGCGTTGAAAAAAACGTTGAAAAAGCGTCACGAATCCGTCACGTTTTTGTCACGCTTTTTCAACGCTTGACGCTAAGGTGACTCATGAGTAGACCACCACACTTCAGATGGGCTTAGCAAACAGATAGCTGACGTATGACGTATGTCGGATAATCGTTGGCAGGATCACCGATATGTGACTATGGGGGTACACCAGAGGATTGAAATCAAACACAATGCAGAAAATTATATAATATATTCAATAATCTATACAAATAGCAGCACATTTCCCCACCACCCTCGAGGTAGTGCCTTGTGGCGCGTTGCTTCTTTTTATAGTGGGAAGCTCTCCGGTAGACCTACTTTAACCACTTGCGGCGATAAATAATTAGGTTAACAATTTTTCTCAGACAGCACGAAGATTTATTCCTAAATTAATAGAAACACTTCATTAATTCGTCTGATGTATGTTTCCGCAGACAGCACGAAGATTTATTCCTAAATTAATAGAAACACTTCATTGATTCGTCTGATGTATGTTTTCGCAGACAGCACGAAGATTAATTCCTAAATTAATAGAAACACTTCATTAATTCGTCTGATGGTTCTTTTTTGTTCGATTGCTAACCTAATCATTCATCACACATTTTACATAAAATTAATTAATTAATTATCAATTTCCATTGCTTCACCATTGATGGAATAATGGCCCCATGGTAACGCTTCATCGATTCCTGGTATAATGTATCTCTTATCATCATTTGGACTGAGAGCTATCTTGTTCTGCGTGATTGAATGGACTTGGTACTGTTTGGCTCTAATCAAGTTTTGTGATACTGTTTTCTGTTTGGCTGTTTCCAGACATTCAACATAGTCATCGAAAGTTATAGTTGTTTTAACAACAGACTTCTTTACACCTTTCGCCTTCTTCATTACACCCATATTCATGATTATATCATCGATTTCCTCCTGATCATAGTTTTCTGCATGCAATTCTGATCTTTTCTTTTCAATTTCATTTTCAGTTGTCAACACTTTGGTGGCATATAGTTTAGATCTCAAGCCCACATAGTCCGTCATTATTCGACTCTTGTTTTCATCTGACATCATTCCGAGCACTTTTTTATTGACCTGTGGTATTCCGAATTGGTTATTCATAGGATAGTCAGAGGTATCGAATCGTTGATGGCAATCTCGCTTCATGACTTCATATGGATCTCGATTGGTAATCTCATAGATGAGTGAGTCAGTATCAGTGTACAGAACGGAGCAATCATGGAATGTATGAACCATATAGTCGTAGTGAAAGTCATATAGGGTAGTCTTGGC